TCCGAATATATCGAGACAATCTCCCGAAATACAATTTTACCGGAATACCCAAATTGTCTCGTTGCATATAGCCAGGTGCATTAATATCTACTCGTGTGAACGCAATGTATCCAAATGGGTAGATATTAATACATCTATATGTACTGTTCTCGCAGTAATAGTTTCTCCTTGACACAATTATATACCTCGGGGAGATTGTATTTCAGCATATTGTCTCCGTATTTGGATCTGTGACTTTTTGTGAAATTGCCCCAATTTCTGAATTTCGAGATTTTAATTTTTCGTGCCAGTGCACGTCCACCGCGACTGCTAAGAGAAAAGAAGCAGTTCAAAAACAAGTACTAAATGAGTCTTTTCAGACTGCCTCTGCAGAGTCCGCGTGATATATCGCGTGAATTAACTTGTCAATCTTTAATTAATACTCCAATAATTATCGTGTCGCTGCATTTAAGTCTGGACATCCTGTACGTGATCCATGCAGTGCACTTTGGACGACGAAATCTCCTTGCGTGTGTATGTGTGCACGCGCGTGTGATTGGAAAACTTTGTACAAATTTTTTCTTCGTTTTTCACGGGCGAAATCTTGAGAGGTCGAGATTGCCTTCGCCGATTTTAATTGGATAGTTTGCAATCGGAAACTTGCATCGATACATCGCATGAGAAAAGTGTTGTTACTTACAGTAGTAATAAGTAGTATAGTCGGAACTTTATACTGATATCTCCCTTCTTTATTCACGTCTTTGAAGAAAATTTGTACACTGAGAGAAAAATTATATTAAAATCAACGAATATTTCTTTGATGGGTGCCATTAACATATTTACTTAAATTTACGTTCTATTTATTTAAATCAAATATTGTTTACCTGATTTAAATAAACAATTTGATTTTAATATAATTTGATTGTTGATTTTAACATAATTTTTCTCTCGGTCTAGAAACATCCAATTTTTTCGACTATCTAAACCAAATCTCCCCTCAAAAAGGGAAGACTCAGACAGATAGAGGTACGTAAATTTGGCAGTAACCTTACTAGTTGATTTGTAAAGATAGCATATCTTTTATAAGCGGTTTATATGGCGCGCATATTTATTACGTAAAACAACGAAACAGAATTACAAAAGAGATTTGAAATGATAGAAAAATCGCTGGAAATATCACGCGAAATGTGATATATCGAGAAAACATTTGAAAATTTATTTTTGTGACGGGAATAAAAGTTTATATTTTCTAGAAATAAACTTTATATCCCATAAATACATTTTCAAGTATTTTCTTCTCAGCATATGAAGATCTAAGTAACTTTAAGCATATTTTCTGTTGCATCGATGTGACATAATTCACATTATTCTACGACGTAAATTGAACAGTTAAGGAGGAAGCTGAAAACTTTACCGACAGAATACTGACATTTTTCTGCAAAGTTTATGTCGCACTGGTTGCACAGAATTACAAATGCTTTTACGCGATGAAGCTACGTGCAATAAAGGAGGATTGCTCGATATGTGACGAAAAGGAAAGATAAATTTTAAGTGTAAAATCTCAAGTTGTCAGTCAGAGCGTAATATTTGCTTAATTTAATCCAAAAGTTCCGTGGCTTGTACATAACGATGATCATAACGACGATGGATTATCGTCTATCTGGGATAAGACCAATCTACCCAATGACCCGCAAAGCGTCAAAGCTGTGCAACAAATCACTGCGATCGATCGATCGATCGCTCACGCGACCGGTATTGGGGTTTTTCTGTTCCACGATCAAAGCTGCCAACGTGCAGACGACATAATTGCCGCAGCTATGCAGGTAAATAGGGGACCATTAGGCGCAGCTGCGTGCGTTTACGTAAGTGCACTCCATCAACGACGGAACGCACACGCTATTTTCCGACGATCGCGCAAAACTCCGTCCGGCCCTCGAAATCCCAGCCGTGCGCGTCGACCTCTAATGGCTCTTGTTACGATACGAGTGCCCCGTGCGAGCCTCAACGAAGATGATGGATCTGAAATTGGTCGAACGTCAATGCGCCCGGATCGATATATCCGCAATGAATCGGAAACTAATGAGGTGTTCGTTAACCGTCTGACGCACGTTGGAAACGGAAACCGGTTTCACGGCCTGTGTACGCTTTTCCGGCGGCACGAGGAGACTTTGGCGAGGAACTTGCGGGGAAACTCGAGCCTCGAAAGGGGAAAAGCGGTGTCTCGGGCGTCAGGCTGACGAGACAATCTATGAGATTGAGCAGTAAGTAATTTCCAATTTCTCCAACACGGAGAAAAAGATCTGCTACATATGGACAAGTAACATAATTTGCTGTATTAGTCACTTCTTCTTTGCTGCAGGAGCCGATTTCCTTGCTATGATAACAAGAAAATCTGTTCCTGCATCAAAAAAAGTAGCTAAAGCAGTAAATTATGTTTAATTGTCCATCAGTAGCAAATTTGCTATGTTAACCATTTTTCTTGCTGTAGGAGCAGATTTTCTTGTTATCATAGCAAGAAAATAGATTCCTGCTGTAAAGAAAAAGTAGCTAACACAACGAATTATATTTAACTGTCCATACGTAGCAAATTAGTTTGCTGCTGCAGCAAATTACTTTTTTCCGTGCAGTGACAGAAAGAAATTTTTGAAGGTTGCTGGGAATATAATTGTGGCGGCGTATTTAGCCGAGTTCAAGATAATTGCGCCCGACTGTGTATTCTTAAACGTTTATTTGTGTTTCGAATTATTATAGTAATTATTATAAACTTAATAACTTATTAAATTGTTACAAACTTACGAAGTGCTTGAAACAAGTGACATTTACTCGAAAGCAGTATGTATATTTTTGTGTGTACGGTCAAACGACATTTATGCACGGAGAAAAATAATTTATTGGCCCAGGAAATTTTCTGATGGTCTAGCAAAATCTTTTCGTTATTATATGGACAGCAAAGATTTGCTAAGAATACTAATCACTATTTGCTGAATCTACAAATTATTACAATTATTTTGCTATAAAAACCATGATGGATTTGTATAAGCAGTTGGAGTTTTGCTGCGATAGCAAATAAATTTACTAAGGATATATTATTTTGCATCAATAGCAAATTAACGTGACTTTTAGGACAAATACACTCAACAAAATTTTTCTATTCTGACAACGAAACTACTTCTGCTCTGATAACGAATAATTTGTAAAATTAGTTACGTCAACTAAATTTTTTTTTTTATGTCACTACGAATATGCGGTAGCAACGACGATTTTGCTAAAAGAGCACAATTATTTTTCTCCGTGTAATTATTTCTATCTGCGTTAATGTTTCTAAACGTTGAAATAATGTACGTATACACAACAAATATGCGGTTCATGTGTTGCAAGTGTGTGCTGGTGCATTATTTATTCGTTTTTTACTACGTTTGAATATCGAAGGAAATTTCGTCGCGCATACAGGAGTCAGTGAAACAACAACGAGAACTGAAACTCGATCGTCGCGAGTGCAGAAAAATATCGAAGGAACACCGCAACCAGGCGGGGGGCGGGGGTGGCGATTACTCGGTTTACTTTTCTTTATAATTATTTTTTTGATAATAATCTCAAAATATAATCATCGGAAGTTTGAAGAAAGCTCGTTATCAAAGGAAGTATTCACTCTTTTTACCATGAAACTTTGTCGAAGAAAAAGTTGCTTCGACTCTACGTAATAAGCAAATCGAACTTTTATTTTACTCCAGTATTTTTCACTGAAATGCTGAACCTATTAGTACTCAGAATGTATTTGAAATAAATCTGATGCTCACGAGATAAACTTGAGATAGATTTATGGATATATATTAACTCACGAAACACTCTAAACTAACCAATCTTTGCTTGTATGTATTTTTCTGCGTACGTATATTACATTACAATCTATGGTATGGGTTGTCGCTGGTCGCGCTGATGTTTATTATCGAGTTGATAATAATGTCGGACGTCGGTAATCCGATAGTAACATTTCATGTCTGTTTATCAACAACGGATATTATTACCCTCTCGATCATAAATGCATTAAGCCGATCACCAGCGCTGCTATGGTCTTTAAAATATATTTCCCCATCCGTCCCAATTCACAATCGCGGTCTTTCACGATTCGATTCCAGTTGGCATTTGATTTGCATTAGTTTGCAACGTGTTTTCACCAGTGAGAAAGAATTTCCAAATATAAAATTCGCTATAATAAATTAATATACAAACAAAATAAAAACAAATAAATACAACACGATAAGGACATGATAAGGTAAAAAATGAACTAGCGAAAATATAACGTGAAAAACAAATAATATGAAATGTGAAAAATCTCTCTCGCTGGAAATATAAAATATCAACAATTTCAAAGTGATATACGTGTTCTCTGGTGTATGCGTGTAAACACACAGAGGAGGAATAACGAACGAATAACGTCTTATCGGCAGAGCGTGACGCTGAGCGGGAGATCCGCGTACTTTACGGCACTGCGAGATAACGATAATATACGGAACGTAAATTAAAAACGAGCCAGGGACATTCAATTTTTCGCCACGGCACTCGCGCCGCGTTTCGTGCTCGCCCGCTGAAATTTCGGCTATCCGGATGCGATATATATGTTATCGCACGAACGTTATCGCATAAATGCGCATGCGGGAGCGATCTATTCCGGGGCCGAGATGATAAGCATGCAAATACAAATCCACGGATCTACCTATCGTGGCGGCGGAAGGTGTTCTAAGCGCACGGCTAATTGTTTGTTATCTTCCTCACGAGTATACATAACGCACGTCCCATGTCCAATCGTCATCATTATCGTAAAATGTTAAGATCCCCGTTCTCTCTCTCCCTCTGTCTCTCACTCTCTCTCTCTCTCTGGCTGCAACCGAATTGTGACGTCAGCAAGAATCATGCGTTGTCCTGCTTATACTGCAACGCTGCGCGCGATTTTTCATTTCTGACATCATAACTCAGTGAGGTCGCAATTAGAGACTTCAGAATGGACCTTTTGATTGTTTCAGATGGTTTGGCGCTTACAGGAAAGATTTTACGTTACGAGAGGCGAAACACGTTTGTTATCGAATATTTTTCATTTAGACTTCAATTTATTTAAAGTGCACTCTCGTTCGACGTTTTATTATTCAATAATTTCCAAGCTTAGCTCACGTACGAAAAGCCTTCGACATTTCTGTCAAAAAATATATGTATATAAAAGCAAAATAAAAAACAGACCGGAAACTGTTTAAAAGATCGTGATTGATGACGTCAGCAGTGGGAAAATGCATGTCCAAAATTCTTGCGTGCTATTTTCAAATAAAAAGATATTTGTACAAAAGAACACTTCTGTTCGCTCGTAAGCATACTCGTAAGACGTATGAAAACTACCCTTTTCCTTGACAGCCAATAAATAGCCAATAAAAATCAACGTGACAAGCAACATTTTGTAAGTAAGCTCATGCGAATCTAAAGTGTTCTTTCATACAAATATCCTTTCATTCGGAAACGGCACGCAAGAATTTTCAGCGTGTCATTTCTCACTTCTGACGTCAATTCAACATGACCGCGGCGAGTACTCAGGAGCCTTAAAAGCTGATAAGAATGCCGTAAAGTACATTCTCGCACAATTGGAAAATAATGCGTTTCTTGTAACGTCGTTACTTAATTCTGTAATAACAACAATTTTTGTGTGAAGAATAATAAAAAATAAGAAGAATGAAGTTTGCAAAGAAATATTAGTTCTCCGAGCCAGGAATATGGCAATTTTGAATAGTTTGTTCTTTTTAGATAAACTGGCTACACTAAAAATAATAATTTAAGGTTAAGAACAATAATTTCATTCGAAAATCAGTTACGTATTTTATTTTAGTATATATTATAAAAAAGTAACGAAAAAGCAACGAGCTGTTAAAATTGGTAACAAGTAACGATAGCGAGTTACTTTTTACGAAAAATATCGATAAAGATAACGCGTAACTTTTTTGAAGTAACGTTCCCAACTCTGCATTCTCATGAGGTCAAACAATTTCGAGGTGATCGTGGTGAAAATCTATGTAGCCTGACCAGAACGGAACAATTGTCTCGATACAATTTCATATTCTCGTTCTCCCAGTTGTCTCTTAACTTTCAAGTTGTTAAATTACACCCTAATGAATGCACAGGGCCATTCGTAACACGTTCTATCCACCGGATATATTCGGCTATTTACCCGGGACTCTACTCGCTAAATACTGACCACGCGCCATATCGATCGAGCCTGCATCCTCCGTCCCGGAGTCCATTTACATTGTAAACTGCATTTGACGTTGTGTTCACTAATTTAAGAGCTTTGGTGGCTCGCGGCGTTACACACCCCATAAGACGACCGCGTTCTCGAGGATAGCTTATGATCGGAGCTGTGCATAGTCATGACCCTTTCCGCTAGTCGCCTCTCGGGAGCCCGAGTTAACTCCATCTGAAAGACGCGTCGTTTGAAACACGTGTGTCGGAGAACACGCTCGATGAGACGCGTCTCCGCGCTCGTACGATCGACCCTTTGGTATACTCGGCAGATTTTCGCAACATTTACGAGAAAACGTCACACTGAGAGAAAAATATTTAAAAATTAACAAGCATTTCTTAGGTACGTACCATTAACATATTCACTTAAACTAAAATTCTTTTAATTTAAATTGAATATTCGATTGAATATTTAAATTGTTTATTCGGCTTGAGTTTTAATTTTTAAATATTTTTTTTCTCAGTAAAGATTGATGGTTTCCTCATAAATATTATCTTTTACGACTCGACTCATACAACTCATCTATTAACTGAACTGTGATAAACTGGCTACACTAAAAATAATAATTTAAGGTTAAGAACAATAATTTCATTTGAAAATCAGTTACGTATTTTATTTTAGTATATATTATAAAAAAGTAACGAAAAAGCAACGAGCTGTTAAAATTGGTAACAAGTAACGATAGCGAGTTACTTTTTACGAAAAATATCGATAAAGATAACGCGTAACTTTTTTGAAGTAACGTTCCCAACTCTGCATTCTCATGAGGTCAAACAATTTCGAGGAGATCGTGGTGAAAATCTATGTAGCCTGACCAGAACGGAACAATTGTCTCGATACAATTTCTGAACTGTCAATCGATGTGAATCAAACGAAGAGAAGCTATTAATTCGCACCATCTGTAATTCTGCCTCAATTTTTCATTGTTGCATCGAGAAGAAGATACTCGAAAATTTACTCGTGGGATATGAAGTTTATTCGCAGAAATAAACGAGGTATTTCACAGAAATAAATCTTTTTTCTCAATGCGCTGTTATCTAAGTCGAGACCTGTGGGGTGTAAAGTTTGAAGATTCTCAAAGCCGACCACACCGACATGGAGTACGAAGGGTTAATCGTGTCGATGCCGAGCCGCTTTACGCTCGCGAGAGACGAAAAGCATCGGCAGATCGTGCGTTATGCGGTCCCCTCGTAAGTTATTACGCGATCCCGCCGTTCCAATTCTCGTCGAACAATAAACACTCGTTAAAACAATAGTCGTCCGGAGTTCCGGGTTCCACCTCCTCCATATTTATCGCGCTCGCGGGGCAAGACCGGTCCTTTTCCCTCTCGCGATTACTGTTTTTCATCACGATACCGCCTTTCTTCGTCGCTGAATGGAAAAGCCGTATAATCCGGGATGAGAGTGTACATTTGAGCGGATACCGCAATATTTTCAGGCGATATAATCAATAGACTCTGTGAGATAAAACTACGGGGATAAATCAGTGGCCGTTGGATTCGATCTGGAAGACTTTGAAATCGCTAGAAGGGAGCTGCGGTTGATTCGGAAATTGGAAAACGTCACGACGTGATTTTTATTGCGAAGCCCCGAGGGTGTTTACACGACTTTTTACTGCACACGAGGATTCCTTATAGTTAGTAAAGCAGCCGCAGTAATGTATAGCTGCAAGTGGATTGCAGTTAGTTTCTATAACAGCGCCTGTGTGTGTGTGTGTGTGAGCTCGCGAATCGAAGCGCGTTCCGTCGTTGAAATAAAATTTAATTTCTAATTTCAAGAGATACCTTAATTCCACGCGCTATATTACATTTTACGCCTTTGTAAAAAGTCTATCCACAGACCGGATTTCTTCTTATTTCACTCGCGAACCGGGAACTAGAAGAATCTCAATAAAAAGAAAAGAAAACTGAGAGAATCTCTAACAAGTAAACCTACCCAAAAGTTACACTCCGATTTTTTTTTAATTTGGCACAAATGTAGAAATACAAAAAATATTTAGGTTATATTTTTCCATTTTGGCTCACTTTAAGTTTTACGGATAGTTTATAGTACTTTTTAATGTTTTCACTCCTATCATCAATAAGTGCAACAAAAATGCATAAGAAATAAAATTGAATACAAAATATAGGCGTTTTTGGTTTGCTGATTGTGAATATGAAGTCAAATGTGTAAAATTATTTGTATAAATAATAGAATGTTTAAACAAAACATGTAAAAAGTTGAAAAAAATTATTTATACAAATGATTTCTCGGTTTGGCCGCGATTCAAACCATTTTTTACTAATTTAGCGCAGATTTGAAATATTTTGGTTGGAATCTCGGCTAACGAAATTTAGAATAGTTCGTGTCTCAGCTATGCCGATTTTGTTAAAATTTTAATTAAAATTACTGAATTTCTCTCGGTTTGGCCGAGATTCGAACTATTTTTGACTAATTTAGCACAGATTTAAAATATTTTAGTTGGAATTTCGGCTAAAGAAATTTAGAATTGTTCGTGTCTCAACTATGCTGATTTTATTAAAATTATTTAACTATATCTTATATTTAATTGTATTTCTTATGCATTTTTATTGTACTTGATGATACAAGTGAAAACATTAAAAAGCTATAAACTGTCCGTGAAACTCAAAGTGGGCCAAAATGAAAAAATATGACCTAAATATGTTTTGTGCTTCTACATTTGTGTCAAAATTATAAAGAAATCGGAGTGTACCTTTTGGGTAGGTTTACTTGTAAATTAGGTCTGACTACTTTTATTTCCTACATCTCTCTCTCTCTCTCTCTCTCTCTCTCTCTCTCTCTCTCTCTCTTGAGATTTCCTCCTACTCAATTAATCATGAATTCGCTTGTTATAGAATTCGAGACTTAATATGAGGCTAAAATTTTGATTCGGTATTAATTAGAACATTCAAAGTCTTTGAAAAAGGAGCGGAATATCTATGCGTTTGATCACACATTATTTCGGGACGAATTGGAGAATTTTGATCGTAGTCTATGTCGCGGAAAATCTTAAATTTCCACGCGGATTTCTCTCTCTCTCCCTCTCTCCCTCTCTCAGCCGCTCATCAGCGTGCCAATGTTTGTTTGTAATACACATGTCCGTTGTTTTTTACGGTTTCCGAGTGCTGTCACACGTGGAATACTCGCCTCCTTCCGCTATAACGCCGCTCGGACATATTTGAGCATTTGAACGATGGAGTTCTCCCGAGAGTTTTCCCTCATCCTCCATCAAAGTGTTCGATTCGACGTAAGCGAGCGGCGCGCCATCTCGCGCGGTTGTCGATGTTATTTTTCGTCGGAGGGTCGAGAGGCGAGGCGAGGGCGTAAACCGACACGACGTTACGTCGATCCATCTCGAGCTCGAAGATAGAACCTAACGACGAGAAGCGCGGTCCTTTATCTTGCCCCACGTAACGACCGATGATTATTTACCCTCCGCACCCTCTACCCCCGAGCCGTTACATCGCGCGGATGGAAATTCAAAGGACTGCGCGAGCGTCCGGAATGTTCATCTTTCGCGCTCAATGGACTGCGAGAGTGGCGCGCTCGATCTCTCGAGTGTGATAGGACGCGCCGGCTAAAATCGCCGCGGTGATTTTGCGCCGTGATGAAAAGAAGTATACGGAAACAAATGATAACTTATGAAGCCTCTCAGGCCCCTTCCAAAAGAAAGAAAATTTCGAGGAAAGGGGCCGAGTGAGAGACGACGCTGATTTTTTTGCAGCGACATGTCCGTGCACGCAGAGACAGAACTTTACAGTGAAAATTATTTTATTTAAGAAAATTTAAGAAAATTTTATTTTATAAAATTACTTTTACTAAGAAAATGTACTGTAGGGAAAGTTATAAAAATTTTGTTATAATGTTGGACCATACAAAATTACAAACGAAATTACTATATATTTGTTCGAAAATATTCCGTCTACGTTTGAATTTTCTTTTCAATCAATACCATTTTTATTTTTAATTTAAATTATTGTAATTAAATGTTTTTTTTATATCATATATCAAGCAGAGTTTTCCTAAATGACAAGCTTCCGCAATATTTTCGCCGGGACAAACATCGACTCCGTATTGCTTGGAGGATTTATCGTTGCGCAATAACTCGGTGCAAGCGCAACACACTTCGCGATATACCTGTGCGCTGAAAGGACCGAGGCTGAAGGCGCGATAAACCGCTGCTGCAAAATTATTCTAAATCCTGGCAAATCCCTGAGAAATGTCCCGGTTGGGGGGCGGTCATGCGACTCCCGTGGAAAAATCTTGTCGCCGCGGGAGGACCGCGACAAGAACTCGAAATGACGAATGCGAGTGTTCGCACGGCCGCCCGCCGAACAAAACGGTCGGAGGAAACGTCGAGGGAATTATTTGCAGCGAGCATCCGTGCGGAAAGAGCGAGGGGCGGGGACAGATAGATAGATAATAATAGGGAAGTGAAGGGAAAAGGAGGAGGGGGAGAGAAAGAGACAGATTGGTAAAAGGGAGCACGCGATAAGGCATAAGTAAGGAAAAACGGCGGGCAGCGGCAAACCGGTGTGAGAAAAATAGCGCTTACCGAATGTCTATTATCGCGTGGACGATGATAATGTCCGTTGTGACTATCGCGATTTAATAATCTGCAGGATGCGATCTCGCTGAATCGACGGCGGAAGCGACCGCGGGGAAAGAGAAAAGGAGAAGAAAGATAATATACGGCGGCGCGACCCCGTGTTCAGCAGAAACGCCGATCGCGGGACGAAGGGTCAAGTCGATATGCGACGGAATGCAATCGGAATTATCGTTCTGTTCTATAAGAGATGCCAATTACGTGAGAACTATTTCGTTATCCAAGTCACATCCAAATTGTAAGTCAGACAAAAGCGAGGAGTATAAAATCAATTCGCTAACTTGATCTTTTTAACTCTGAAATCGAAAATTCGACTGCGAGTTTTTTAAGGGGTTTTGCTGGAAAAGTCGCAAGCGAAGATATTTTCTAAAATGGCTGTCAGCCTTACCCCGAGTTGTAAGACAAATTGAGAACTCACGATTAATTAAAATAAGACGAACGGAGTGTGTCTGTGATTAAAATGAAGAACGACGTCGCACGATAATGCTCTCGTAAACCGTCACGTCCCCGCAGACAAAGATAAGATCGCGTAATCGTAATTTGTTGCGAGTTTCGAATTAAATATCTCTGCAAAGTATCTCCGTGCGTTACCCCCGTACTCTCGTCGCAAATATAAGACACGTTATGTTAAGACACGTTATCGCGACGGCCCGGTTTCGCGCCCGTCAGCCCTCCGGGGATGCAGTTTCTTCCTGCCTCACGGGGTGCCAACTTTAATTAAATGTTGATAACGGCGAGCGCGAGATTTTATTTCGCGAATGCGATGAAAATATTGGACCAAAGAGGAATTCCGTTATCGAGATCGCGAAGAGCACGCCTGCACATCAAGCTGCAAACACAATAACGTGCCCGACCCAAAGCGTGATATCGCGTGTCTTGCGTTAGACTCTGTATTTATCGGCGACTTAAGTATTCAGTTATTTCCGCAATTGCTGGTCGGTATTTTATTAGCGATTCCGACGCAGAGAGTGTATCTCGCGTCGTGATAATTCCCAATTTACGAGGGTGGTCTGAAAAGTTTCCGACCTAACAAAGATACAAGTCATTTTTTCTGAAAATTGTTTTTTATTTTTCAACATAGTCTCCTTGTAAATCTACACACTTCTCCCAGCGATGCTCCCATCTCTGTAACCCGTCGAAATAGTACTCGGCGTTTTTCTCTGCAAAATAATTGTTCACGAAGGTGATTGCCTCTTCATTTGACGAAAATCTCTGTCCTCCGAGCGCAATTTTTAGATGAGGGAACAAAAAGAAGTCGCTTGGGGCTAGATCTGGTGAGTAAGGTGGATGGTCAAGCAGTTCAAACCGTAATTCGTGGATTTTCGCCATGGCAACCGCTGAGGTGTGAGACGGTGCGTTGTCTTGGTGAAACAGGATTTTCTTTTTCTGCAAATGTGGCCGTTTTCCCGCAAGTTCTGCCTTCAGCTTGTCAAGTAATGATGCGTAGTATGCTCCTGTAATGGTTTTTCCTTTTTGAAGATAATCGATTAAAATAACTCCATGACTATCCCAAAAAACAGTCGCCATCACTTTCCCAGCCGAAAAAACAGTTTTTGCTTTTTTTGGAGCCGGTTCCCCCTTTGCAGTCCACTGTTTGGACTGTATTTTTGTTTCAGGCGTATAATGGTGTATCCAAGTTTCATCTACAGTAATTAATCGGCGCCAAAACTCGGATTTATTGCGCCTAAACTGCTCCAACAGAGCGTTGGAAATGTTCATTCGAACACGTTTTTGGTCTAACGTGAGCAAACGCGGCACCCAACGCGCGGACAGCTTTCTCATGCCTAAATGTTGATTTAATATGCGACAAACACGTTCTTTTGACATGTTCATAACCTCTGCTATCTCTCTCACTTTAATTCGGCGGTCGTCTAGCACCATTTGGTGAACTTTGGCGATGTTTTCGTCGGTAGTTGCAGTTTTTGGACGTCCTGAACGTTCATCGTCTCCCAAGCTCTTACGGCCACGTTTAAATTCAGCGGCCCAAAATTTCACTGTCGTAAATGATGGTGCAGAGTCCCCATACACAGAATCCAACTCATCTTTGATTTGCGTAGGCGTATTGCCTTTCAAAAACAAATATTTAATGACAGCTCGATACTCGATTTTGTCCATTTTCACAAAAACACTCACATCAACTTACTCAAACGACTGTTACATAACAACTGCGAGTCCAAAATGGCTGAAACTTCGGTGAGTAACTGTCAACAGATGAACAACGAAATTCACTAGCTTTTATTTACAAGTGCTGCTATCTTCACGTTGAGGTCGGAAACTTTTCAGACCACCCTCGTATATATTAACGTATCCCTCAGAGACTGGTTTTCAAATACAAATAATATCCCGAGTCGAAATTTTGATGCTACTTTGACGCTCTTAAGGATTTGCGCCTACTTAGATGGTTTATAGCTTAGATAAAACCTACTTTGACGATATTGATACTCATTAACTTCTCTTTTGAACCTTTAACTCTACCTTGTCAAAATTTTCACGCTACTTTGACGCTCTTAAAAATAGTTTGCCTACTTAGATAATCTACAACCTAGGTGAA